CACCCTTAGGCCAGGTACCATGTAGTCCCAGATAGCCATGTGGAGGTAGCACCTCATAGAGAGATACCGACCATATTAGCTTGGCATAAAGAACCTCTGGGCGTTTAATGAGAGAACGAAAAATCAGTGAAACCCAAGGGGCAAGCCCCAAGGGACCTAGATTAGAGCCAGTCGTCCTAGAACCGAAATAGGAAACCGTGGCAACCTGTTAAATTAAGATGCGAAAAGAGCCTACAAGTAGGTGGCTTACTGAGTATAATTTTTATACTCATCCTTGCTATGTTTTCCTTGTTTTTTTTCAGGAGCGCGAGGCGTAGGTCAAGAGTGGGCGTGATCTGAAGGGAATTGTCACAGAGGAATGGGTTGTCCCGGGGCGTCAGTCCAGTCTTAGTCTTTATTTTTGTATTCGCATTCCTTTTAAATTTATTTTCCAAACGGTCTTGTGTTCTGTGTTTATCGTTCGAAAAACTTTATTGAAATTTGATGATTTTTGGCTACTTCATATTTAAATCTCTCGTGCGTCTGTGTCGTGTCGTTAGTCACTATCCGTAGTAAAATATTGGGCTGTGACAACACTCAACACATAAACAAGGGTATTGAAGGAGCAATCCGAATAACGACAAAGAAACGAATTAAAGAAAGAAAATGATTAAGGACTAATTTAGACGTAGTAACATATAAGAGTTACATATACTAATCAAGAGGAAAAAAGAAAGACATTTAACATCAATATGCTTTCTTTCAATGGTTTTTTTTCTTCTGATTGGCAAAATCTAATCAATTTACCAGCAAGAAAATTGATTTAGAAGATCTTAAAGAAGAACAAAGTGTTGATAAGATCCAGATCTAACACTTGAAAGAACATAAATTTTTTTTTTTTTTTGTTATATATTTTTGTGATAGAACATGAACATTCTACACAAACCGAGAAAAAAAATTATAAGAGAATTAAAAGAGATAAGTGCAATAAAACATATATCCGATCTTGAGCCTAAAACTCTGTTACCAAAATGATATGGAAATCAACCCAAGGGAAAGTATGGAACGGATTACCTTGATGATCAAGATCAAGAGTAAAGAAAACTCGTTTCTAAACTCATGATTCGAATCACTCCACAAGAGGTTTGATCAATACCACTTTAATGACTCTACATGCAAGTTCTAAACACAAGAATTTGCAAAGAAAGTTTAGCTCTCAAGAAAGCTAAAATAGAAATTCTATTCTTAATTCCAAAATCTGATGTCTAATAAAAGAAAAGAAGGCTTTATATAGCCTTTACAAACCTTAACCTATGTGATACATAACTCCAAAATTAAATGGGCTAGTAAATGAGAAATACCCATAACCTCCATATTAAAATGGCTAGTTAATGGTGGAATATAGTAACCTATGTGGTTACAATATAACTTAACTCCTATATTTAAAACTAGCTTAAATATGACAACAAATAGTTAAACTATAATTAAATAATGCAAATAATAAAATGTGCTTATTAGTCATCCTTGGACTATTTGATAAATTCAGCGGAGTTCATTAAATGCAACTTAAAGTGCATTTAATTCATCTCTGTCTTGAAGCTCCACTTTGCATAACATATAAGGGAGGTCTCCAACGTCTTCTAGAATTTCCTTTGATGAGCTCACCATAGCTTGAATATAACTGTATAAGGTTTGTTGTAGCTTCTTGGCTCTTGTCCTTGTAATTGGACCTTGAGGTATGGAAATTCCTTGGTCGTGGTTCATATCAGATATGATATGAAGAAAGATGGAAAAGGTTGATTTATGTGATGTAATGACTCTAATTTTTACCTATTTAATCTAAGGTCATTACTATACCTTTGAATGCGGAATTACATTAAATGGGCCCGGAATATAAATGCGACTTAACAGTTGCCTTTTATTAGCTCGTGAGAGAGAAAAACAAATGCAGGGAAGAGAAAGGAAAAGAACAATACTGAAATAATTGTCTCAATCTACCTTAAGTTTATTATGCGATTACAATTCAACCTATACTAATCTATACTAATGAAGTAAATAGAATTCAACCTAAACTAACCTATACTAGGAAATGGAAAGCAACTACCCTATGCACGTGCCACGGTCCCGGGGTGTACGATGCTACCGACGATCTCATATGGGTGCCTTGCCTTTATCTGAAAAGTAAAGTAGCACGAGGCTCGAGTATTTCTAGAATACTCAGTAAGTGACCCCTTATCAGGGTTATGCAACATTCACATGCAATGAAATGGATGGGACCTATCTTTCGTTTCGTTTCGTTTTCCCTACAGTGCTGTCCTAACGGGTAAACTTTGGACGTGTACCATATACTCTACACACAGCCCATACGTGCGAGTATGGGCTCACCAGCTAGTTTGCACACCGCTGGGCCACTTTCCTTATTTGGTGGGCATGCTCTGGGACCCCCTTATGCCGGAACCCGTTAGAACTAGTAATCGTCACGGCAGCGCTATGCAAAGCATAACAATCGTTGTCCTGCCATTGGATGTACGCGTCCGTACCCTCGTGATGAGATAGGGGTATCCCACCAGATGCATGAACACACAATATGCATGAGGTCCCCACTAGTCCTACATTTATCATTAATGAACATAATCCCTTGTCACGTTTCATGCTTACATGTCATTCTCATTTTCATTTCTTTACGTATCATGCATATTCCTAACGATGTTACGTTTCCATGTAGTTTACCGTATTTCATGTCATACAATTCATGCGGTTTATATTCAAATATTCCATATAATCATGCCATAATCATTCAAGAATAACATATTGTCACATGCATTACATATCACATCAAACTAAGCAGCATACATAACATACATAACATACATTCACGTTCAAATGATTACATACTTAAGCACAACAAACTAGCATACAAGTTAATGACACGTGTGAATCCATGGGCACATGCCAACAAACAGCAATTAACGCGTAACCTACGACGGGTGGGGTCACTTATTGAGTATTTCTTTAAATACTCAAGCCATGTGCTACTACATTTTTCAGGTTTAGGCAAGGCATTCTTATACGGCTGACGACGGTATCGCAACTTGAGACCATAACACATGCATAGGATAGTAGTATTTATCTTCTTAGACTTAGATTAGAATAGGATGTTTTTAACTTAAACTCTTATTCATTTTATTTAGTCTTTTGTTGTGTTGTTTTAAAGATGTTTCGAAACACGTAAGTCCATGGTTGTGCTTTAAGATAAATGTTATGTTTTATGGAATTTAAATGAAGTCTTTCGCATTTAATATTTATGGTATACAATAACGACCTTAAATTAAGTAGAAAATTTAGGGTCGTTACATGTGATATCCTACATCGGGTAGGGAGTAGAACGAAGCATTCTTTGTAAGGGTGTGGAAAACTCTCCCTAGCAGACACATTTTAAAAACCTTGAGCGGAAGCTCAAAAAGGAAAGCCGAAAGAGAATAATATATGCTAGCAGTGGACTTGGACGGTTACAAATGATATCAGATCCGTACACCAGGGCAAGGGGGTGGATTGTGAGATTCCACATGGGATGAGGAGTATGACAACAACACCCAAGAATGCTAGCTCGACCAAAAAACTTTAAAATGGTTACGCTATGCATACCGTGCAAGTAAACTTTGTCTCGATGGACTAAGTAGAATTCAAAAAAAAAAAAAAAACTTTATTAATAAAATGAAAAAAAGTAAAAAAAAAAAAAAAAATTATAGCAGAATTTAATTATATTTGAACTTAATTCACATAAAATTAGATTTCATATTTCAAATTATAATTAAATTAATCTAAATGAAGCGTTATATACACACTATAATGAGGTAGCTGCATGACGTGGCTTTTCTAAATTATTTTTATTTTTATTTTTTAAAACTCAATTATTTTTTAATGGCTTAAAATTATATTGAAATTTTTTAAAAATAAAAATGGAATATATAGTGACTGATGACGTGGATTTCCTTTACTTTCCTCTTTCTCCGCACGATTCCATTAATGACCCTCCGCCGACATCTCCCAAACTATCGTTATTTTATTTTTATTTATTTATTTAATTATTTATTTAATTATTTATTGTTCTGAGACTCTCATTATCCATAACACAATTATTCCGACCCAAAATAAAGTATGATTTTCAATAATCTAAATTAATTCACACAATAAATAATAATAATCATAATAAAACTAACAACCATTTTTTATTGACTAAATTAATAAAAATATGACGACTTTTTGTATTTTATTTTTAAAATATTTCTACACTTCCCTAACTTTTAATACCTTAAAACTTATATACAATATTATATATATATATATATATATATATATATATATATATATATATATATATATATATAAAGTATTTTAAAGATTATTAAAAAAAAAATTAAAATTTAGGAATATTTCTATTAATTTATATTTTCTCAAGTTGTTTTTTTTAATTATTAAAAAAAAAATATATTTACCCACAATAAAATATTATATTAATGACTTAAATCTCATAAAACTCGAATATAAAACATTCATACGTCATGACACATTATTAGCATCGGTTACAAACGTCAAATATTATTAACTTTCATGATAATAATCTTAAAAGTAAGATACGGTAGGATTGAGTTGTAACTCTATTCAAATCGAAGAAAAAAAAAAATCTAACTCAACTTGGATAGTCCAAGTTAATCGGGTTCTCGAGTCATATGACCACCCTGGTTCGTTTCTTAAAACATAAAATTAAATATGGGTTGAAAGTATTTTCACCGGACAATTAAATTTGAAATATGTGAGTTTATTTATTTATTTTTTAAAGTAAGGTTTTGTTTTTGAACATTATATAAAAAAAAAATATAAATGAATAATTAAAAAATGGATTTAAATCTCAGTGTAAAAATAAAAATAAATAAAAAAAAGAAAAAGAAAGAGAAAAATAGAAAAATAAGAGCACAATCCTCCGTGTGTGTGGCTCTTTACTGTCGCTTTATTTTCTAATTTATCGCTTTATTTATTAAATAAAAAGGAGAGATGGAATCAGGATTGTAGGAGTTCTCTCTGTCTGCTGCATTTCTCTTCCGACTCAAATTCTTGGTTCAGGAGGAGGAACAAAAGTTTCTCCCTAACAATTTTGGTGTGTGTGGCTATGGTTCATCTACGATAAGGACCTCAATCGCAATCTCCTCGTTTTCTTCTTCTTCTTCCTCCATTTTTCTTTTCAAATCTGACCGACAGAGTGAGCAAAAATGATGATCAGGGATTTGGTGCTGTTTATGCTTCTTGTTACTGTCATTGCTCCGATTTTGCTTCACACTTATCGTCTTGGATCCTTCAATTTCTCCTCCTGTAAGTTCTACTCTCGATTGGATTTGCGCTTTGGCCTTCTTTTCTACTTCCTTACTACTCATTTTCCTGCTTCTTGTTTTCTTTCTCAGCCAGAGATGAATTTCTGGAAGATTTCTCAAGCTTTGTAAGTGGAATTGTGCGGTTTTCTCTTTACTTTGTTGAATTATCTGAATTAATGTATGATTTGTTACTTTTTTTTTTCTTCTCTCTTCTCAGACTCTAAGCAGTCATTCTGAACATTTGAATATACTTCCTCATGTAAGTAATTTTGTGTTCCTCTTTTTGATTTTCTGCTTGGATTATTTCTGGCTTTAACTTATAGATCTTTGCTTGTTCCGTCTTATTTCTTGTATCAGGAATCCTCTAGGATTCTTAAAGAACCCGTTGGAACTGTGTACTCTAACAATACAGCTCATCCAGAACCGGATGCGTCTGCTGTGGAGCAGAATTCAACCGACGTCCAAGGCTCAGCACATGGTGTTTTTTTCTTTTCTTTTTGAATTGAACATTTTCTTATTCTGTGTCTTGCGCTTCTATAATTTTGCAAATCTTATCGTTACAGATTTGCAATTACCGGAATCGCGGGAGCATAAGTCTACTCGTGCACTTTCCACCACGAATGAGAACGTTAGTTCGATTGGAGAGAATCACATCAGGCAGATCACCGACCCACTGAGGCAGCTGAATCTCAGCAAGGGCATTCCGGTACAATCGGGCACTGAGCGTGTGAAGGTAGAAAACACTGCAGAATTCACATGACTAAGGCATAAATTCCTTCGTGCCTCTTAAAATTTGGCGAAAACGTTTCGTTTCTCATAAATTTCTGGTCCACTTCTTTTATTGTCATACTCTGTACCTTTTAAAACTAATAATAGCGTTGGTGGCTCTGGAATATAGAGAACAGTTTTCCATTCATCATGGCTTTTATGTTATGAATTTGCAGGAGAGCGGATTCTTCTTCTTTAACTGTTTCTTTTTTTTTTTTTTTTTTTTTTTTTTTTTTTTTTTTTTNTTTTTTTTTTTTTTTTTTTTTTTTTTTTTTTTTTGTAATTGACCATATTCGTACTCTCGTCTTTCCTCTCTACCTTTTTGTTTCAGCAGGATTATAGTGGAAGATAATTAATCAAGATGCAAGATCTTAGATTTTCTTAAATTACGTTTATTTCGGATTACTATCATGCATACTTCACTATTCGTTGTCCTATGCTAAAATTAGGATAGATAATACTTTCATAATGCTCGAAGGCTCTAAACACAGATGATTAAAGAAAATATATATTAATCTAACCTTTGCGTGGTCAACTTGGCTTTATAGCAATCAAGATAATGCTTTCATACGCAGTTATTTGTAGTTCATTCTAGTTTGCTGTTCTTTATGAGTTTCTGAGTTCATGAATTGATGTAATGATTTTCTTTTCGGAAACAATTATATTCAGCATGCATGTATGCATGTACATCTCAGTATCTTCTTTTTCACCCGGCTCCTTCGCTTCTGTGGCTTGATTTCCAGGAAAGAAAGCGTGTTCAACAATCCATCCAATCCACTGACAAGGTTCGCAAGGCAAGAGAATCATCTAAATCAGAAAACGATGATGAGGAAGCTGCTGCACCAAATACAAGGGTTCAGTATCTTAAAGATCAACTTGTCCAGGCAAAAGTGTATCTTTCCCTTTCAGCCACAAGGAATAATGTTCATTTTATTAGACAATTACGTCAACGGATGAAAGAGATCCAACGCATTTTAGGGCGTGCAAACAAAGACTCCGAGCTGCCCAGGGAGTAAGTATATACCTCTGGAGCATGTTAATATTTGGCATCTTGCAGGGGATTTTTATATTCCTTTCAACATTCACATTTGTGATAGTTTATGATTTGGCCAGTAGTCACAGCTTCCAATGTTTGATTGTTAATTACATACCTTGATGAATGCAGTGCCCAAGAGAAGTTAAGGGCAATGGATCAAATATTGACCAGAGGAAAACAGATTCAGGATAACTGTGCTTTGATAATCAAAAAGGTTCGGGCTATGCTCCAGTCAACGGAGGATCAGCTGCGAGTGCACAAGAAGCAAGCACTGTTCTTGTCACAATTAACGGCAAAAACACTTCCCAAGGGCCTTCACTGTCTTCCCTTACGCCTGACGACTGAATATTACAGCTTGAATTATTCTAAGCAGCCGTTTCCCAATCAAGAAAAACTAGAAGACTCCAGTCTGTATCATTATGCATTATTCTCAGATAATGTATTGGCAGCAGCAGTTGTTGTAAATTCAACCATTGCTCATGCGAAGGTATTTAGATTTTCTACCCATAAATATAGAAGTTCTATGCTTGAAAAGAAAAATGAAAAGAATACGTCGAGGTCTGACGACTGTTTTTGGAATTTTATTCTCTGTTTTCCTTGAACGGTTAAGTAGTAGGGTGGAGTTTGAATGTAACTTTGCTATGACATCACAACTAATATAATTTCATTGATATTGGACAGGATGCCTCGAAACATGTTTTCCACATTGTTACCGACCAGCTCAATTACGCTGCAATGAGGATGTGGTTTCTTGTTAATTTTCCTGGAAAAGCGACTATTCAGGTCCAGAGTATTGAAGAATTCTCATGGTTAAATTCAAGCTACAGTCCAGTTCTCAAGCAGTTGGGTTCTCCATCAGCAAAAAATTATTACTTCAAATCTCATAGAGCCCATTCTGATTCAAATATGAAGTTCCGGAACCCAAAGTATTTATCTATCTTGAATCACCTCCGATTTTACTTGCCAGAGATATTCCCAAAACTGAAGAAGGTTCTGTTTTTGGATGATGACATAGTTGTGCAGAAAGATCTTACTGGCCTTTGGTCTCTTGATCTGAAGGGGAATGTAAATGGGGCAGTGGAGACTTGTGGAGAAAGCTTTCATCGTTTCGATAAGTATCTTAACTTTTCAAATGAGCTCATATCGAAGAATTTTGACCCTCGTGCTTGTGGTTGGGCATATGGAATGAATATATTTGATTTGGAGGAATGGAAGAGGCAGAACATAACTGACATATACCACACATGGCAGAAACTTGTAAGTTTTCGAACATTACTTATCTTAATCATGTTGTCTTGCACTTTCGTCGCTCGTTCATATGGGGATGATTTAAACAAATTTTATACGTTAATTCTCCATTTGTGGTAGCAGCAGGCAGATTAAAGATTTAAATCGGTATTCGTCTCGGTTACACGTTTTAGCAACTGTCTGACTCTAATAGAATTGGAAATATTTCATAGGAAATGAAGCCATTCAGCCCTTATACTGCCACCGTTTAATGTGGTTCCCTTATTCTTGTTATTGAAATTAAATTATTTCTGTGGCCTTTTCTCTGCAACCATCAAACTTGACATGGATTCTATAAAATCCTAAAAGCTTCCCATTTCTTTGTTGCACCAGAATCACGACAGACAATTGTGGAAGTTAGGAACCTTGCCCCCAGGTCTTATAACATTCTGGAAGCGCACGCATCCTCTCGACCGATCATGGCACGTTCTAGGCCTCGGATACAACCCTAGTGTCAACCAGAAGGAGATCGAACGAGCTGCTGTTGTTCATTACAACGGAAACATGAAACCTTGGCTGGAGATAGCCATACCCAGGTACCGTAACTATTGGATGAAGTATGTCGATTTCGACCACGAGTACCTTAGACAGTGCAATATTAATCCATAACAAGACACCTCAACGCCTTCTCATGGTTCCACCAAAGTCATACAGTTAAACAGGTGCCATTCTTTTCCCCATCTCTTGTAAATTAGTTTTTCTTAGGTCAATTCTTTTGTAGAAAGAACGTTTTTCTTTTTCTTTTTTGCATGATTTTATATTGTGGGCGAGTGGGATCCCGAATTTACCTCAATTTGTAAATGATTGAGAGTGTTTTGTTTTTCCTAAAAGTTTATTCTGTGGTGGACAGCTTAAAGTATTGTCAAAGTCTATGTAACGTGTACATTAAATTTTGGTAATAAGGAATTATTATGTTTTATTATGCGACTTTCTTTGGTTTTTTTTTTTTTTTTTTTTTTTTTTTTTTTTTTTTTTTTTTTTTTTTTTTTTTTT